GATCGCGGATCCACCATTGCCCAGGGGCAAGGTTTTGAAGCTCAAAACCTGAGGCAATTTTAAGAATTAGGCCAGGAAGAGTCAATGGTTTAGAAGTCTTGAAGACAAACCTTTATGATTGCCATTCGTTCTTTCAAGTCCCATCCAAATATAAAACCATCAAAAAAAAATTCGCGGCCAACACGAAGCATGGTGTGGGTATTGATTAATTTTGGATTCGCCGGTACAATGTATTTGACATCGAACGTCTTTACAAAATCGATCCTATCTCTACAAGAATAAATTGTGAGTTGAATGGTTGTCGACAAAGTGGAGAAAGATGATAAGGCTGACTGCCGGATCCCAATCACTATGATTGACGTGGATGATCATATACGTCATCTTAGCATTGACGACATCCGAGTCTGAGATCGGTCTTGGGTAATGTCATTAAAACAACATACCTGCTACCTTATGTATTAGTATAATCTTGTTCATCTTCTAATTGATGATTTTCAGGGCATATCTTAGCGACTAAGTCCAGGTCATTATTCAAGACAGGAGGTGCTGGCGTATTAAGAAGGAGCAATTTGCCACTAAGGATATAAAGAAATTCAGGCGAAAGGCTATGTTCCGCCGACGCATTGGTATTGAGTAAGAGGCGATAGTCTACAGGCTCGTCAGAATTGCAAGTAATAAAGCTTGGGGTCGAGATTGTCCCGTAAATCTGCCCAGGCTTGATTATAGCATTCGACTAATAGGGAATTTTAGTCAATGACTGAGGATATCTAATAATAAGACTGAAGACCTACGTGTTCTATTGGTCGAAACGTGCTGCGACAAGATATTGAGCGGTTTTGAGTTTTGTCTTTGTCTGCCATCTAAGATATAAGGGAAATAGGATGATTAGTGGTTCTTGGGGGACAAAAGAGTTGAGCCAAGAACACTCCTTAAATGAACAGTCCATGGTCGGCAACATGGCTTGAAGGTTTAAATGCGCAGGGATTGAACCAAAAGAACAGGAGAAGGGCCCTATGGGTAAGCCAGATTAAGCAAGGGATTGTAGGACGTTTGATAGGCTATGAATTGCATAAGTGAGAATAAGATATATAGGACGATGACAATGACAAAGGCATGGATACAGGGGTTGGTCCAGGGGTCCAAAATGAATTGAGAAAATAATTATGTCTAGTGAATGATGAAGGCAGAGATCAAATCACAAGGGTGAACAGGGTGATGAGCTAGGTACTGATTTCTCGGGCCCAATGACTGGACCTGATATGTGAGCAAGGGGCGATGATGGAAGTCTAACAAGTCGAAAGAACAATGAATTAGTAAACGGTTTCGTGGGTTCAACGTAAAGGAGTAAGGGACCCATGAATAACCTTGATATAGAGATTGAAGCGATCTCGGCGAATGATGCGGCCGTTAATCCAAGCGGTGTGTCCAGTTATGACATCTTCACCGTACATAGACATAAAGCTAATACTGTGAAGAGTGAAGGAGAACTGGTGGGAAGAGGGCATCAGTGAGAGAGTAAATGAGGTTAAACAAGAGATAAGACAAAGCTTACGGGCGAAGGACCGAGAGGAAAGGCTTGAAGTTGAGGGGCAGTGGAAGTGAATTTGACTTTACCACTGATTTGCGGGCATGCGTCCGGGCGCATAAATGTAGGACAAGTGGGCTTCCAAAATGAAACCTTAGCTTTAATTTCAAAAACATCCTGGTTTGATGATAGGTCAATAGTACCGTAATAGATTAACCATGGACCTCCAGTTGAGGAAGCGAGTGACATGGGCTTAGCTACAAGCGAAAATTGAGGAAATTTGCTGCGGGTCAAACGATGGCTATTTGGGATATTAGTATCAGTGAAGGTGACGATGATGGATCCATCAGGAGTGACAGAGAGAGGTTCATCTATGAATCGACACCCCCTAACAGAGTATACAGAACTCATGTCTGATTTATGAATTTGAATTGAATGAAAAGTCGAGCGAGCGGGGTAGTCGGGAAGGTGGGGGAATAGAAAGTCAAGGTGGCAGGGTAGTCGGGAGGGTGGAGGCCCAAGCTTTAACTAAAGTCACATGGCCGAAGGAAATCGAGGTATTAGGCCGAAAATGAAGGAAAAGGCAATAAACATGTCAAATAGTGACGATAAAGTGGCGGGTCTGATGCGAAAGAGAATAAAAGAGGCGCATAAGGTGAGAAAATGAAGGCTAAATGAGGGAAAAGGAAAGAGAAAAGTGATATGTGGGGTAAATGGTGGGGAGAGCGGTGTGAGGCGGGAAGCAGAAAAGGTAAGAAATGAGAAGCATAGGGGGAAGAAAGCAAGGCAAAATGATGGAAAAGGAAATAGGTAAGTCATTGTATATGGCGTAAACGGGGGAAAAAGGTGTGAGGCGAGTGTCAAGTGGCTAAATTCAGAAAAAAAAATCAAAAATAAGTGAAAATAAGGACAGAGAAGGCGGAAATTGTGATAACGAACAACGAAAAAGGAAGATGTAGTGGAGGAGTTTCAATGGGATGAGAGATGAATGAGGGCGAAGGAAAAAATGGACAGATGCGGAATTGGTGAGAAGGAGAGGAACATGGCTAGCGGAGAACAATAAAGGACAAAGGTATATAAAGTGACGGGGGGAGGTCTAAAAAATTGGGTAACGTAACGCAGGTTCAACGCAAGAATTAATGTCTCAAGTGCCATCACAATCAGTGATACCTGGAGTTTCTATGGGTTTGTCGCTTAATGTTAAACTTGTTAATGTATGAATATGTAGTCGTTCGCCTCTTGACCGACTTTGACCGTTGTTCGTTTTGCCACACCCCACGGGGGAGAGAACAGCTCAATGACGTCAGATCGAGAAATTGCAGCCATAAACTGAGAATTATGCATTTATTGATGTACATAGCTCAGTTGGGCGGGCTTAGGTCTACTTGGGTGGCCCGCAGAAACAGTGGATCAAGACGACAGGAGCCGAATCAAGACAATGATAGGAATCGAGCGATTGAATACACTATCGTCTGTTTATGAACAGCTAGACGCGTTACTGTCTTCTCCCTCACCTCCTCAATCGATTTATTGTGTTTTTACAATACCTTGGACGGATCTGCAATTTTTTGCTAATTCCGGACCAATGAAAATATCAAAGTAGTGAGTTTTGCACTCGGGTTTTGTCCTTGCTGTTGTGACCTAGGTCACATGGTGTGACTCGGCTGCGGCTCAGCCAGCCGGAGGAGACTACATCCGTCTCCTCCGGGCCACACCTAGTGGAATCCATACCGATATACACACTGAAGCTCCTACAGGTTATGAGCCTGCGTTACCAGCTCCGCTGAAGAATCTCGAACCCGACGAACCATACCGGATTGACCTTTTCATTTGAATCTCGCCGAAGGACCATACCGGATTAATCTTTTGAATCTTGCCGACGAACCATACCGGACCAGCCTTTTGAATCTCGCTGACGAACTATACGGACCCATCTTTTATCTCGCCGACGGAGGAATACCGGCCCTTAACACCCTAAATCTTGCAACAAAAACTGACAAACGATACCGATTTCATTTTTTATCTCTCTATTATTACTATTTTTTGACCAATCTTAGATGGATCATTCATGCGGTGCTTACAGTCGGATTCGACTGTTCTTGTCTGATTTAAACCTTGTTCTAGGATCTACTTCATATGCGACTCCCTATAGAACAGCTCCAAATTCAAATCAGATGGTTTGTCCTCAAAACTTGTCGCTCCGCAATCCTCATCAACAATTCTTGTCGAAGCGACCGACTTCTCGCTCGCGAGCTTGGAAGAAAAAACACCCGAAAATCTTTGTTCAGAACTTCCCAACTGACACCCACGGCTTCCCCGATCAGTGTTGGCAACTAACCGTTTGGAGTTGAGAAGAGA